TCGTTTCTTATTGCCTCGTTTGACCTGCAGTACAGTGCCCTCTCGTTTCTTATTGCCTCGTTTGACCTGCAGTACAGTGCCCTCTCGTTTCTTATTGCCTCGTTTGACCTGCACACTTACAGTACAGTGCCCTCTCGTTTTTTATTGCCTTTTTAAAAGCATTGAAATTCAGTTTGTATTTTCTTGCAAGTCATTTTTTTAATGAATTATGTGTAATCACATGTTTACACATGTTTAAGTTAATCTGTTAAATAATAAAATATAGTTTGTGTTGACTGCATTAATTTAGGGATTCAGTGTGTAAATATTTATTGTTTTAATATTAGGTACACTTAATCACAATCAATCACAGATGACTGTGATTATTATTGCTTTTAATTGATGTACAACCGTAATATTAGTTATTTTGGTTCTTCAGGGAAATACCTTTATCTTCAAGCTTTACTGCATTTTGTTGCCACCTAGTGGATACTACGATATTGCAGCGCTACGTAAGCATTACTACACTGCTGTGGTCACCCGTCCACCAGTTGCTGTGCAAGTTGATTGTAAAAGTATTGGATAGATTTACCCAGTACAGAGCAGGATTTGGGGGGGTTACCTGGCATGCTTTGCTGTTTAAATAACAACATGATATTTTTTTCTCCTTCACTTTACAGGCTAACTTTGATACTAACTTTGAGGACAGAAATGCCTTTGTCACGGGGATCGCTCGGTACATCGAACAGGCCACAGTCCACTCGAGCATGGTGAGGATGCTACTTCACAGGGCCTAGAAGTTTCTAAGGGGTTTCTTTTTGTGCCATTGTTTGCAGCCTCAAGTAAGCCTATTATTAAATGAACATACAGAATCATACAAGACAAACGAGCAGTGGAGCTACTAAACCAAGTCCTCTCTCTGTGACACCCAAAACAATTTTTAAAAGAAATAATTCACTTAAGGAAATGTCATACTAAGTAATAGGAACTACGTTTGTTCATAGGTCTGAATGGATAATGAAATTCATGGACATTTTGAAACTTAAACAGGTTATGGGATACAGTACATGTTAAAAAAAACTTTTAATTAGTGCTTTTTTGAAATGTTCTCTTCGCCTGCATGCATGGAATAAGCGATATGGAAGCTATATTGGTGATATTACAGGCTTGGGCCCGTTGCGTAATCGGAGGCTTCCTATGCCAGGCTTCGTCCGATTGGTCCAAACAGCATCCTACTGTTTACTCATCCACAGTGCAGCTGGACAGAGAGAAGGTCTGAGGAAGTATAGACCCTCCAAGGCATTCTCCAGCAGAGAGGGTGGAGTGTGGGATTCTTTCGTTGTTGGCCTAGGGGGAATACGCTACCTAAAAGCGTAGACTCTCATTGGTCGGTTCCGGAGGCGTCTGTTCAGCATGCTGATAGAATCGATATGGGATGAGAAATGATGATCGAATTATGATAATGATGTGATGGTGTCACTGCACCTGACTGTATATATGCAGAGCAACCCAGCCCCCCCCCCCCCAGGCTTGGTGACTCCCTGATCCTCTCTGCCTGTTTCATAGAACGAGATGCTCGAGGAAGGCCATGAGTATGCTGTCATGCTTTATACCTGGAGGAGCTGCTCCAGGGCCATTCCACAGGTGAGTATATACACACACAGACACATATACAGACACAGAGACACATATACACACACAGACACACAGACACATATACAGACACAGAGACACATATACAGACACAGAGACACATATACACACACAGACACACAGACACATACAGACACATATACAGACACAGAGACACATATACAGACACAGAGACACATATACAGACACAGAGACACATTTACACACACAGACACAT